CTGTGCCCTCACTTAAACATACTAATGATTTTTGTTTTATGAAAAAAAATGTCATCCAAATGGCCCACACTTAGAGCCACCTCTAGTCCTAATGATGGCATGAGTCTGAAGGTCAGTCCAAGGGGATGTCATTTACCAAACCATTGCAGGTCTGTACTTCAAATACTCATGACAGGACACTCTTCCCAGGGCCCATGAATGGTGTCAGCACTGCTGATACCCAAGATTGTATTGTTGCCACCAGAAAAGCCCATCTTGAGTGACAACACACATGACCGAGTTAGGGAAAGTAAATGCATCTTATTTTTATTTCTAAAATAACACCTTGAAAGCTCTTTACTTACAATTAAAGAGAGACATATACACATGAGACCTGTGACAGCATTGTGTCTGTCCCACACCTGAAAAAGCTGAGGTCCTACAAGCCAGGTTGTTTTACTCAAGGATTAAGACAGTAAGCACACTGAACACCCACCCACCATCTTTGGGGAGTAGATATCATACCTCTCACATTCAACCTCCAATCCTACACTGATAGTGAGTGATTCTGACGTGAGAGGCCCAGACACCCGGGATGGCCTCAGTGTGGAGGAGGTCTGCATATAGAGCCACAGAGCAGTCTGAGGGAAAGTAGGGCAAGTCCACAGGCCACCCGCCAGCCCTGGGCTCGCCAAGGGAACTGTACAATGCTTTGCAGCCGGATTGTGCATCTTGCCCAGGTGAAACAGAAAGTCAGCCTTTGTCGGGCCAGAGTCAGCGGGTCAGTCTTTTTAAAAGCCGCTGTGAACCTCAGTTAGTTTTCCAGCTTAGGTAGCGCTCCTGGCTGGAAGAGGATGTCACTTCATTCCAGGGATGTTTGTGCATTCTCCTTGGAGCCCTCTCCATCCCAGCAAGCAGAATGTCTCTGAGAAAAAAGCATCGGGGACAATAATGTCAGAACACTTGTTACTGCAAAGAAGGAGAGCTGCCATTTCTTGACGGCTTAGTTTGAGGCAGGCGATATTCTAGGGCAGCGGTCTTCTCCTTTAGAGTTGAAAGACTTTAAAAGGAATCACGTATCAGATATATCCTGCATATCAGATACTTACATTACAATCTGTAACAGTAGCAAAATTATAGTCCTGAAGTAGCAACGCAGTAATTTTATGGTTGGGGCTCACCACGACGTGAGGAACTGTGTTAGGAAGAGAACCACTGCTCTAGGAGAATGTTTGTTTATTCCTGAAGCCATCCTACGAAGAATGCGCTACTATGCCCTGATTCGCAGATGATGAGATGAGGTGCAAATTATTTGAATACCACACAGCGGGAGGGCTGCTCCCAAGCCTGTGTTGTCCTTAGTCCTAGAACCTAAATTGAACTAAGAACCCTCTTTGTTCTTCTGGGCCTGCAGGTAAGTCTTTAGCATAACCCCAGTGCTATGAATTTTTGTTTATGTTTTCATGTGCTCAGTAATCTTATATGATTGTGTGCTCAGCAGTCTTATTTCCATTGCGGAATGAACCCTGTCTCCTTTTGAGTACACTTGAGGCTTTAGCAAGGAAACATCACCTAGGTCAAATGGCCTCTGTCATAAGGTATGCTTCGGGGGTGAACAGCAGAGGGCGCTGTGCGGCTGTGGCCTCGATAGGAATGAGGTTCACCTTGCTTTGTCTTCCCTGATTGGGACCTGCCCATTAGAATCCCCACCTGAAACAAAGCACCCCAGTTTCAAAGCCCCACAGCCCTCCTTCATTCAGTATGAGCCTCAGGACAGAGCTGCCCCAGTTCTGTATCTAAACCCAAACTTTACCTGAGATGCGTGGGGTAAAGAAGCTTCCGTGACTTTGTGGGAGCCTCTATCTCATTCCAAACCCAATCCGAAACACTGACCTCTGGAGCTGGGCTTGCTGTTTAGTCTGTGACCTTGCATGTGGTTTGGGAACTACAATAGTGCCTTTTCTGCATGGTTTCACCATGCTCTCGTCTGCATGCCTACCTTGTGCTTACCCAACAACATCCAGTGCGTTTCTGTGGTTGGAGCCTACCCCTATTAGAAGACACCCTCCATGGACCACCATCTTTCCATTCTGGGCTTCAAACTTGCACCTACTGTAACCTCCATAGCCCTCTATTCTAATGCGTATTTGATCCCCAACCTTTTTCTGCCACAGTGCCGACTGCTATTCCAGAACCCTCTTGATACCATATGTCTAGGTGTAAATTCACAGGCCCCAATTACTGAGAAAATTCAATAAGGATGGAGACACCTGCAGAGAATATGCCAAAAAAAGATGCAAAAACTCAGTTCATCCTCTACCTCATAAGTTCAAAAATAGAACGGAAAATCAAACAGCAATATAGAGTGGGCTTTGCTGACAGGTACACTCCCAACTTTCCAGCCTCCCTCCTGCTCAGATCTAAGCCTTCCAGAGCTCTAGTATCATGTGAGGCTTGTCAGGAGACTGCCCCATTCTTACAGCTAACCAAGTGTGCCTGCCAACTGGAGAAAAGTCTTCATCTACGGTTCTCCTCTCCAGAATGGCTGGATAAAGTATTCTCAGAAATCTCCTACTGCAGACATGACCTAAGAGAGTAGCTGTCAACTGAGACCTTGCTAGAAAGCCCAGCTCTGAATTTCTATTAGGATAGATTAGTTATACATAATGAAGTTCATTATGCCATTTTGTACACACATACAATATATTTTGGTCACATTCAACCCTCCTCATTTACTATTGATTATCCCTCTCCCACTTCTCTTTGTTTGGTTGTTGTTTTTCCGTTGGGTTTTTCAGTTGTTTTTGTCTTTTTTGTTTGCTTTTTTGCTTTTGTTTTATTTGTTTGTTTTAGGCACGGTCTCACTATGTACTGCTAACTGGCCTGGAATTAACTATGTATACCAAGCTAGCTTTGAACTTCCAAAGATCTAACTTTGGATCTAACTTTGCCAATGCCTCCTGAGTGCTGGGACTAGGGGCATGTGCCACCACTCCTGAGTCTCCTCTCCTCCTGCTGCTCCCCCCAACTAATGCTTCTTTTCTTTTCTCTCTTTTTAGTAGTTCATCTGAGTTAGTGACAAATCACAGACTGCTCTACCGTGGGTGAATCCCACAGCCTAAAGAATGGCCAGAGTCAGTAAAAGTCATTCTTTTCAGCATTAAATCCAAATGTGAGAGTGATCACTTAAGGACTCTACTGGTGAGTTTTAACTAGCTTTGTTGAGTCTTGAAACAACCTAGAATCAATCACCTGGGAAGAGAGTCTCAGTGAGAAATTATCTAGGACAGAATGGCCTGTGGGCATATCTGGGAGGCTTTGTCTTGATTAATGATTGATGTGGGAAGACTCGGCCCATTATGGACTGTACCATTCTGTAGACAGGGGGTCCTGAACACTGTAAGAGAAGAGAAAGCAAGCCAAAAGCAAGCATTCAAGCATCCATCATTTTTCTCTCTCTGCTCTTGACTATGGATATGAGTCTTTAAGCCCCTACCTTGGATTCCTCAAAATAATGAACTGTAACCTAAAACTTTAAACCAATAAGCCACTTCTCCCCTAAAGCTGCGCTCTTGTTGGTGTATTTTATCACAGCCACAGAAGTTAAAGTAGACCTGAGTACTTGACAGCATGCTCCTTTATATGCTTTCCCAGTACTCCACACCTGTTTCAAACCCTTGCCTAAGCCATGCCTCCGAAAGAAAAAAAAATGTAAAAGAAGACATGGCCAATGCCAGATGAGGGAATAAAGAATCACACTCAGCTTATGGACATGTTGAAAGGCGATGGAAACGTCTCCAAGACAAGGTCTGATACCAACGTGTCCTTCCTGTATCGGCTATTACTATTGGTCCAGGTTTTTGGCTGCTGTTTTGTCACTTACTAGCCTTTTCATGGCTGCCTGACATTTATTTCCTCCCAATTTTACCTATGTAGAAATAACCCTCAGCGGTAAGCTGTGAATAAGAAGCAGTTGCCACATGTCTGCCCTTACCCTCTCAGGAATGATTCTAGGCCCCACTTCACCTGGGAGAGGCAGGCCTGCCTGTTGTTTTGCTACTGTAATCAATCAATGCTTTTATGTCAGCAGTGGAGTTACTGTAAGTGCCAAAATCAATTCCCAAGGAGGAACTAAGCCTTCCTTTAGCGATGAACAGCAGTAAATGCAGAGGCTCACAGCTGTAAGAAAGAAGCAATAGTAGCGGGCTCAGCTCTTGACAATACACTGACATCACCATCTCTAAGGCTTGGGATACACTATAGAAGAGGAGGTAGGGGTCTTCCAAATGTCATCCTCTAGAGTCTACATAGAGATACATCCATTTCAGTCATCAGCTCCCAACAGCTGCAGATACCTGCACTTGGATAGGCTCTACCAACAATCAGTCATGGAAAGGGGAGAGACTCACAATGCTCTAACCTTTGCCTCTGAACTATTATTGGATTCTGGAAGAGATGGAGTCACTATCTTTAGTTCCAATGATTAGTTCTAAACCTATGATCTGACTCAGCCCTAATTGGGTCAAAAGACAAAACAAATAGACCTGAGCATGAGAGAGAGAGAGAGATTTGTGGGGACAAATGAGGGTGGACAGGTGGGATAGGAAGAGAGGGGGTGACAACGGTCAGTATTCATTGCCCACATGTATAAAACTGTCAAAGAACAGATTTAACTAATAAAGAAAGTAAATACTTTAGAAAGGAGCTAAGGTGTGAGAGCTTGGCAAATGGGTCCGTACAGCATACATCAGCACAAGTGAGGTTGCAGCATCTCTCACCAAGGCCACATCATTAACCTCTGGTCATAGAAACTCAGCTGGCACAGGTGTCAAAAAAAATTTCCTCATTTCCATCTTTTGGGCTGAGCTATAGAAAACAGCATCTCCTCTGATAGTCTTGCTATCTTATTCTGTCTCATCTCAGCTCAGTACCATGTAATGGGCACCAACCTACTCACAAGTGGATCAGTGACACCTGCAAGTAAACTTTCTATTTGAGCTTTCAATACTCACATTTTAGTCTCAGCGATTCAGCACTCTGGATCCATTGGCTGGACTTAATGATGCCTTCTAAATGGGGTGAAAATAATAGTTAACAATGAGTAAGGATACTGGCAAGAAAAAAAACTATGCATACTTATAGATTAATGTGCAAGCTGCCTAGAGATAACAGTGTGAAAACTAAACTATAAAGAGAAATATCCAAATTGATACAGCCACAAAAAACTGAATTACTGTATTTCATTGAATGTGACATTATGAGTGACCTTATTGCCTTTATTTTGCTTTTTTAAATAAAGAAACAAAACCAATCAGTTAAGACTATTTATAGATGATTAGATGGTACATTTTAACTTAAGAAATAGTAAAGAAAATGCCTATCTTAAAATTGATGAACTGTGATACTAAAAGTCAGGCTTAGAAATAGCCGTAGGTAATGCTTCTCAATACAACCAGAAAGCCTGTTTCTAAAGTTCTGAGGGAGAATTTACTGGCTGAACAAATACTTTTTAGCAGATTCAGAAATTTTGACACTCTTCTTGGTGCCATCAAAGACAGATTGCCCACTCCAAAGCCTCCCTTACAGTCAGTAACTGCATAGTTACTCAAGCCCAAGAAAGCATGCTCTACTGCAAAGAGTCCCAGAAACAGAGGATGGGCAGACTTTGGTTGGCATTTATTCTACTTCTAATGAAATGGGTGACCTTTCACACATCCCGGGAAGTTCTCCGCTAAACTCCTCACCTATAAAATGAGTGGGTTAAAATAAAATCTTATTTCTAACTCAACTCTCATTTCTCAGCTCCCACCTATTATAAATCTCTGGTCTTGATTTCATCTCAATGGCCCTACATCTAGCTAAAATGTAGGCACATGCAAAATTCCCTCAAAGGGAACCTTCTGCTAGCTTTCCATTTCAGTGTTATCCTCAGTGTTCATGAAATGAAGAAAAGAGTAATTCACTTTGCTAATAAATTCTGAGTGCTGGACCACAGCACCCATCTCAGCATGAGCAAAGACACTGACCCTCCAGCGTGTCATTAGAAGGGGGGGATTTTACCTCTGCAGCCCTCGATTTCCCCTTCAATGAAGATACCCTCATCCTCAGCGCATCTCTTATCTGAAAAGCAATGACAGCCAGTGGTCAACAGATGTCAGGGGAAGCAGCAGCAATTCCACAGTACAAACACATGCCCTAGAACTTTAAGGCCAGTGACAACACTCGGTACCACAGCTCTGCACAGCACCCAGCAAACAACAGGACTTGGATAAGAATTGAAGAGCAATAATAACAATCCACCGAACTATTTCCAAAATGCAGCCATGGTTTCTATTCTTTTTACCACCAATATTTGATTGCAACTTCTGCTTGTCTTGATAATAAGCAAACACAGAGAGTGTAGTGTTCTCTTCTTCCTTCCTCACAGCTGATACCCTGAGCTGTGCTCACAAGCTCAGCAACCCTAGACTCAAGTTAAAACGATTTTACCCTCCTGCTTTCCTCGACCACATGAAACTGAACGGGGCAATGAATGAAGCAAATTCAATTTACCTTGTAGTCCATGATGGAACCAAACAGCAAGATGAAAAAGCCCTGTGGTGAAATTCAACAGAATCATGAGGGACAGCTTCTCAAACAGCATCCCAGTGTTATTTCGATCCTACTCCTCTGACTAACCCCTTGGACAGTACCTGGGCACTAGAAATTCATTTCTGACAATGTTGATGAACACGTGTTGGCAGAGCCTGACATGGTGGCACAGATCTGTATTCCTGACATTTGGGAGGCAGAGGTAGGAGCCTCTCTAGTTCAAGGCTGACTATGTAATGAGCTCAAAACAAGCCTGAGTAGCTTAGCAAGACCCATTTGTGAGATAAACAAAATAGGGTGGGCCAGCACAATGACTCAGAAGGTAAACGCACTTGCTGCTAGGCCTAACCACAGTTTGATTCCCTAGGATCCAAATGGGGGAAGTCGAGAAAATGACTCACATATGTTTTCCTCTAACCTTCACATATAGGATATGGCAGATGTGTGTGGACACACACACACACACACACACACACACACACACACAAATAGGGGTTGGAAGATCCAAATATTTTAAGAAGTTAATGAAATAGGTATTGATGGGTCCTTCCTTTGAATCTACCTCCTTCCTGGCAAAGACAATCACCCTCGCAGACTTGTACAAGTGGGTTACTGATTCCTATTGAATGACTACCGATGTAGAAAAAGGGGGGTTAGCCTTACTGTATGATGTGAGTGATAAGTACCCCCACAGGCTCATGTATTTGAACCACTAGTCTCCAGCTGCTGGGGTTGTTGTGGAATGTCGTGGCACTTTTTCTACATGAGGCCCTAATGTGCAGATATAGGGCAGTAGGGGTGGGGCCCAAGGACGATAGCTAGACCAGCTTTTAACATGAGCCTTCTACCTCCTGATTCACAGAAGATGTATAGAGGCCATGCTATAAGCTCCTGCCACCGGGACCTGAGCCCCAGCTCCATACCTCCCCACCGCCACCACCACCACACACACACACACACACACACACACACACACACACACACACACACACCGTGAAACTGAGAGCTGAAATAACTCACTCCTTTTCTTAAGTTTCTTGCCTGTGGCATCTTATAGCAGTTACAAGAGCAATCACTGAAACATGAAATCTTACAGTTTCATCTCAACTGCTGAATTTTCTAGTCTTCCTCATGATAACAGTTCCCTATGATATGGAATCTGATCATTCAAAATTATGGTCCTGGTTTATTCTGAGTTGGGGTGGGCTTTCTGGAAAGAGTCAACTATGGCCTCTGAGATGGTAGAAAAATTTTCTGAACTAAAAGCAATGAAAAACTATAAAGAGTTGAAAGCTGCGAAGATTGTTTGTTGACAGACAGTTTTGTCATGATGAAACACTGATCAAGAGACAATGGAATATTAAATGTAAGTCACAGGGAATTATGGCTAAGAAAAAAGGATTTAGCATAACTAAAGACGTTTTTAACATTTTTCTATCAACAAAGGAGAAATATAAATATTGTGAAGAAGAAACACAGACAAAAGATTCCCAGGGTTTAATTAAGTTGCAAAGGGTAAGAAGGAAAAAAAAAAACAAAACAAAAAACAGCATGGTGGTGCACAACATTTAATCCCAGCACTCAAGGAGTGCTGATGGACCTCATGAGTTTAAGGCCAGCCTGGTCTACAAAGAAAGTCCAGGACAGCCAAGGCTACACAGAGAATCCCTGCCTAAAAAAAAAAAAAAGAAAAAAAAAATAGGACGAGGGCTCGGTCTGCTGCACCACGGTAACTGCTGGTGTAGCTTCTGTGAGGGCCTGAGATTTGGTCCCCAGTACCGGAAGGGGAGGGGAATGGGGGACAGTGAATGGGAAGGAGGTGAAGAGAGGAGAACAGGGGGAAAGGGAATGGAGAAGAAAGGAGAGGAGGGGAGGGGAAGGGTTTGGAAAAGGGGAGAAAGGGAAGGAGATGAGAATGAACCTACTAGTTACTGGAATAATTTCTGGAGTGGGAAAATTAAGAACATTTGGTAGCTCACACCTATAATCTCATCATTCAGGAGGCTGGGACAGGAGAAATATTATGGGTTTGAGGATAGCCTGGGCTAAAGAGTAAGATCATTTTTCAAATTTTTAAAACAAAACAGAGGGCCAGAGAGATGGATCAGCAGTTAAGAGCCCTGGTTGCTCTTGCAGAGGACCTGGGCTCGGTTCCCAGCACCCAGATGGCAGCTTCCAACAATATGTAACTCCAATCCAGGGGAGCTGATGCTCCTCTGGCCTCTTTGGGGACTGCTTGAAGAGATAACCACAGGCAAAATATCCATACCCATAAAATAAAAAAAAGAAATAAAGGGAAAAATGTTTTACTTAAGGCAAAAAGAATAGAGAAACTTGTGTCAACTAAGATCTTTTGAGTTCAAGAAAACAGCGGTTTTTAATGTTTTCTCCTTAAAGCAATACAACAGGAAGAGTGAAACTGGCATGGTCCGTAGTAATTAAAGAATGAGTAACCTAAGCTGCTGTTTCTTTAAAGACTGTGTTAAGTTTACACTTTGTGTCGTGCCTTTAAGTACTAGTCAGGGATCAACAGAAAGGCTTTGCTACTGTATTGAGTACTTATAATATTTAAGGCAAAAGTTGGAAAACTTTCTCCCAAACTCCAGATAGTAAATATTTGCACTTTGCCAGCCATACCCCTTTGTTGCAGCTACTCAAATGTTTCACTATAGCCCAAAGTCAGCCATAAGAAAAGCATAAATAAATGAGCATGGTAGTTTTCCACTAAAACCCTATTTGCAAAGACAGGTAGAAGCATCGGTGTTCCAAGCCCAGATTAAAAGTATCGTTAAGACTGTGACCCTATTAGGTTTTCTATTACTCATAGACAGAGAAAGCAATCTGATTAAATGATTGCCCAAAATGCAAGGTTAGAACCCTGAGGGAGGAAAACAACATTCACAGAGACCATCTTGCCAGAGTGTGCATGCTAAAGTGGGAAAAGAATGGAAAGCATTCCACACCCAAATCCTTATTTTATCATATGAGAAAGTTGACAGCTGGTGAGAAATGGCCTTCCTAAGACTAGAAAGAACAAGATCTATAAATAAACAGAAACCAGCCTCAGTTTCATGTGAAATGGCAAAAAAGAAGTATATGGATTCCTGACTGGTCAACTTAGAAAGTGAAGGTCAAAGACCATCTGTTTGCACTACAGAAAAATATGCCTCTTTTGCTGAGTTCCTTAAAGAAAGACAGCGTTGTGCTTATTTTCACCCAAGAGCAACTTTTTGCATCCATGATTGGATGAAAAGGACAGTCATTTATGTAAGAGGGTTCGCTTCTGACATTATAGGAAGGGCCCAGAGTCATTTATGTAAGAGGGTTCGCTTCTGACATGATAGGAAGGGCCCAGAGTCAGAGAGAGAAAAGGAAAAATGTTCTCGTCCAACCTGGTCAAGTAAGTCCAGTCTCACTGGTGGTCAAATGAAGTAACTCACACCTGTAATTTCAGCACACAGGAAGCTGAGACAGACAGACAGCTACAAGCTTAAGGCCACCCTGGCTACAAAATGAGACTGTCTCAAAAAAAACAAACAAGCAAACAAACAAACAAAACCACACACACGCTTTTCTTTTTAATGAGGGAAGAGGACCAGGTGAGATGGTTCAGTAGGTGAAGGTCCTTGCACCAAGCATGATGATGTGAGTTCAATCCCCAGGATCAGCATGGTGGAGAAAAAGAACTGACTTCTGTAAGCTGTCCTCTTACAGGACCTCTACATGTATTCCACGACATGCAGACACCCCCACACACATGCACACAGAGTGTGTGATGGATGGATAGATAGATAGATAGATAGATAGTAGATAGATAGATTAGAGAGACAGACAGACAGATACACAGGTTGTTATTTTTAAGTATGGAAACATGTCAGTGCAATTAGAAGCTACACTCAGAGACCCCTGAAATACAGAAAGAAAACTTGGTACATTCTAATGGTAAATAAATCAGGGCTATCCGCGAATGTCTAGCTAGAAATACAAAGCAAATTCCTCCTTGAGAACTTACCTGGAAAGCATTAAGCAAGGCAAAGATTATATGGAAGGCCAAGTGTGTGCCTTCCAGCAGGGTTGCTATCCCAAAACCCCAGGTCAGTCCCAGAAGAGGGGTGAGGATGGCAACATTTTTGCTGATCCTGATAACTATGGCCATATCCTGAGATTTTGAACTGCCGATCAAAGGCCTCTGTGTGTTGATAGCAACTGCCAGAACCACAAGGAGATTCACAGCCACAATGGCCAAGGCTGGGATGGCAAAAGCAAACAGGGCTTTGGTTTGGTTCCAATTAAGCCAGCAGGCATCTTTTCTGGTGTAGCCTTCCCCAGGCTCTGTGACAATAACCGTGACAGCAGCGATCACGAGAGGACACCCATAGCCAATGGCAAAGCCAATGGCCATCATACAAGACTTCATCATCCTGCGGAAGACAAACAGTATTCCGTAGACGATGAGCAGTGCTTTGAAGAGCATCCAGAAGAACAGAGAGAGGAAGAAAAAGTGGCTGAAAAATGTCACAGCCACACACCACTTGTGGTCCTCCTGAATGTTCGCATCAAAGTTGGAGCCAATGATGAACCACACATTTGCGCTCAGGAGGGACACAGCAATGTTCACGATGCAGGTGTGGCGCATGCACGATATCTCCGTCACAACCACCCGAGACCAAACCACGGCTTCGATGAGCAGGCAGAGCACCAAGCTGAAGATGGAGACGCTGAGTCCAATGAAAGTGATATATTTCAGAACGTTGTCTCTTACAGGTTTGGACGACATGAGAATGGAGAAGGACATCACAGCTTTGGTGTATTTACACTGGCATTTCACTGTGCTGGTGATGTCCCACATCATTTTGCAAGGGCTCTCATCCCACTGCCTTCTTTCAGAATGCCAGCCGACACACTGGCCACTGGTGCTCCGGGACCTATTGATGTTATCAAAGGTGAGTATGATTTCATTCAGACCTTCTGGCAAAACCAGTGACAGGATCAGATCATCTATGGGCTTTTGGAGATTCATATTTGGCCGATGGACTTCGTTCAGAATGGCCCCCAAGGTTGGAAAAGCTATGCCAATGGCCTGGGAAGCATTGGGTGACAGCTTGAGGAGTGCTTGCCTGGGTATTTCTATCAGCACTAAGACATGTTCTGTGGCATTGTACATGGGTACGGAGAGGTTGAATCTGTTCTCTGGGGAACTGTGAGAGATGCGAGAGCCTTTTGTCTGAATGAAGTGTTCATCTACAATGCTCTCAGATTTACCTTGGATCTGGAGTTTCTTGGCAAAAGAGTTCACTGACTCGAGCAAATCTGAGCTGGCATTTTTGTTGGGAATGAAAGCCCAGTTTGGAATGGCAGCAGTGGCAAGAATGTGGTTGGCCATTTTCCCGTAATTCTGTAATGGAAACAAGCCTGTCAGTGTAATAATAATAACAATAATAATAAATAAAGTCAGTTTCTAAAATCTGCAACTTTAGCAGATCTAATTACCTCATCTTATTTGAGACTTGCCCTTTCAAATTCACTATGTATTGTAATCATGCATTAGTAAAGCTAATGGAAAAAAGTAAAAGGATTAAAAATATGTGTTTTAGTATAAAAACTAGAGAGAGAATCTCAGCAGTTGTTCTGGTTAGTTTTATGTCAACGTGACGGAAGCTAGAGTCATCTGAAAGAAGGGAATCTCAATTGAAAAATATGCTTCCATAAAATCCAGCTGAAAGTCACTTTCTTAATTAGTTACTGATGAAGGCATGCCAAGACCATTGTGGGTGGTGCCGTCGCTGGGTTGGTAGACCTAGATACTGTAAGAAAGCAGTCTGAGCAAGCCATGCCGAGCAAACCAATGAGCAGCGTCCCTCCACGGCCTCTGCATCAGCTCTTGACTCCAGGAGCCTGCCCTGTTTGAGTTTCTGCCCTGGATTCCTTCAAATGACAGACTATGGTGTGGAAGTGTAAGCCAAATGAATCCTTTCCTCTCCAACTTACATTTTGATCATGGTTTTTATCACAGGAATAGAAACCCATACTAAGATGGCAGTTAAGGGCATTGGCTGCTCTTTCAGGGGACCCAGGATCAGTTCCCAGTGCTCATATAGCAGCCCACAACCAGCTGTAAACCAACTCCAGTTCCAGTTCTGGCCTCTGAAGGCACTGCTCTCGCATAGTATACATACATACATTCAGGCAAAACACCCAGACACATAAAAATAAATCTTTTGAAAAGAATATGTACCATATATACATGCATATATCATATATTTCATATATAAATACATGTGTTTATCTAATTGCTATTATTGCATCCAAGCAAGATCTTCACAGTACAGAATATAGAACTTAAGTTCCATGAAAAGTAAATGATTGTCTTATGGAAGGAAGTGTCTGTGTACCTCATGATAAGTTTGTGAAATACTGCAAACATGCTGTATCCCTCTGTCCCTCTCTTTAATGATAAATGTTAATGCTCATGAACACCATAAGGTCTCTGGGAAACTGACCTGGGGCTTGCTGAAATAGAGCTCAGTTAAGAGAGAGCATTCCTAACATAGACGAAGCTCTGGGTTCCCTTCCCAATACTGCAAAGACTGGAAGGACTGATACGTGTCCAGAATTTCAGTATGAGGGAGATAGAGGCAGAAGGATCAGGAGTTCACAGTCAAATTCAGCTGTATAGGAAGTTTGAAGTTACCTTGGCTACATGAGACCCTGTCTTAAAAACTAAAACCAAAAGACACATCTTAAGGAAGCACATTTAACTTTTTCTAATGCACAGCTTCTAACTGCTGTTGTGATATACAACTGCCTTCTAAAAATGGAGAGTCAAACAATGCGATTTACCACGGTAGACTTGGTCTATGGCCAACACTATATATTCAAAATCTAACTTTCATAAAGAAGAGTGCTGAACAGAAATAGCTATGCTGTTGTTATGGTTGTTGTTTATTCTACCTTGAAAGGAACATTTGACACTCTTACAAATGCACAGATGTAAACCATGGCATTCCAGTGTCCAAGTGGGTTCCATAGTAATGGGAACAGGGACTGCCTCTGACATAAACTGATTGGCCTGCTCTTTGATCACCTCCTCCTGAGGGGGGAGCAGCCTTACCAGGCCACAGAAGATGACAATGCAGCCACTCCTGATGAGATCAGAAGGAAGGCGGGGGGACCTCCCCTATCAGTGGACTTGGGGAGGGGCATGAGTGAAGAAGGAGGAGGGAAGGTGAGATTAGGAGGGGAGGAGGGAAGGGTTTATGGGGGGATACAAAGTGAATAAAGTGTAATTAATAAAAGTTTTAAAATGTTTAAAAAAATGCAAGATTTAAGAAAAACCATGTCTGTGTTCAGTGAAATTAATTTCTAAGTTACCTTCATTTTCTCCCAAGTCACATTAGCATGTATTCCATAAGTTTGCAGGTCTGAAGAGATGTTTTTTAACAACTCAACTATGAATGCAATATTCCCAGACGTGACTTCAGAAGTGTTTATGGCATCAACTATGCAGAAGTAGTCCTCAGGGCAGTAATGCTGGATTCCTTGAGATAAATTCCCAATATGGACTGGTGCCCTATTGTCCATCAAGTTCATGGGAATATTAAACGATGCTACGGAAAGGGTAGATGGAGAATTTCTGTGCTGTGTAAAAAAGCATAAACCAACATGCATTAGCTGAAAGGAACTAAACCACAAACAACCCCATGGGAAAAAAACAGATAAATAAAAAGGTGGCCCTAAAAGGAGCTTACTTGCTGAGAATAATTTAAAGCAGTCACAGAAGGCCTGGCCATCACCAAAATTCCCAGAGAGCAGACTAGTGACCCTTTCTAGAATTTGCTTTCAGAGAGTAATGGTTTAAACCAAAGTATGGTAGTGTGTGTGTGTGTGTGTGTGTGTGTGTGTGTGTGTGTGTGTGTGTTATATCTATACACACGTATGTTCATGTGTATGCATGTAACTGGATGGAGAGTAACCGCACATGTGTATTCACATACAGACATCCGGAGTCAACATCAGGAAATGAAAGTGGTCCTCAATCAGCCTCTATTTTATTGCTTTTTAAAGATTTATTTTATTTTTAGTGATGTATACCTACATGTCTCATTGTGTCATTGTGTGCACGTATGTGCAGGTGCCTGGGGAGGCCAAAAGAGGACATTGGGTTTCTTTGGAGCTAGACTTACAGACAGTTGTGAGTCATCCAGTCTGAATGCGTGGAACCATAACATGGGCCTCTGAAAGGGAAGTAAGATTTCTTACCCTCTGCGCCGCCATCACTCCAGCTCTTTATATTTTAAGATGAGGTCATCCAGTGAACCTGGAACTCATTGTTTTGGCTAGACTGGCTGAGCAGCAAGTGCCAGGGATCTATCCCCAGGGCTAGAGTTAGAGGCGCGGGTGCCTGGTAAAGAAATGCTGTGCTCTGCACACTCATCCCCATACTCACTGACATGGCAAAAACTAGCCGCTGCACCATCTTCCCAGTCCTTTAAGACAAACACTACAGAACCACAGAACCGGGGGAAGGAAGATCCAGGCAGAATTTTACAGAAGAGTCGTTTGGGGAGGTTAGCTGTTAGAACACCACATACTAATACTAAAGAAAAACAATTGCAAAAAAAAAAAAAAAAAAAACTTTTTTTCCAGTTGTAAGTTAGTTGAGCATCTCCTGTTATTTTTACCTATCCTCCCTCAGAAAGTGACTTTGAATAAGCAAGGACTTCCTCCCATATTCTTGTGCCTGTCTCTGTAGTTACAGGGACTTTACCACGACTGCTCATGCTGTGAAAGCAACGCCATCTACAATCCTCTTATAAGGCCATCGTCAAATACAAAAGCATGGAGGTCTGTGTCCTTCAGCAAGACTGGCGAGAAATAGGAGCAGTGGCTAAGTGGAAGTGTGTGAGATAGATTTTTATTGTAATTGAGACGTGTAGGTGCTGCTGAGCTCTTGTTCCTTCCAGATCCTCTCTGTTTTAGCTAAAGGATTGAAAGCGTTAGAAAAGAAGTCATGTTTAATTTAATTGAAGAGCTAGTTAGTTGGTTAACACAAGAGGCATACTAACCCACCCATAAAGCTAAGCTGAAAGTTTTCAAGCCATCATTTGCAGGTAGTTTAGGTAACTGTTACTTGATTGATTCAACCTTTTGTCTCCAAGGTTTTGGCACACTCTCATTTCTCAGCTGAACTCCTCACCCAAGCTTCTAACTGACTCTTTGCTGAGAGTAGTGGGGAGAGAATCAGGAGAGAGGTGAGCACATCAGAATTTGGGTAAGAAAAGGGGCCCTGAGGCAGATACAAGCCAGCAGATAGTTTTCCCCAAATGCAAGCCTGAGACTTACTGTCACTTAGAACAGATGGAAATGAAAGTGCCATCTCTCACCCGCCACACCCCACCTCTGGAAGGGTTAGCTCCTGTCACCAGAATTGCACCAGAGCATTACCTTAAACAAGGTGTCCACAGAGAGGCTTGTGCATGTTTCAATTGTCTTTTGCCATTTGTTTTCATTACATGTAAATACTATCTCTCCATTGAAACTCCGAGCACAGCTCTGGCTACAGCTGGAAGAAGATTTGCAAGGCCCGTCACATTTATCTGAAAACAGGGAGAAAAAAAAAGAAAATAAAGAAAACCCAGCAAGTCAGAGGCCAAATTACTTTTTCTACACTCTGGCAAATGCATCTAGTCTATTCTGGGACTTTATGGAGAGCTGGCCAAGAAGACGACATTGAGCTGCCTTGCAACAAGGAAAAGGACCGACAGTGAAGCTAGTGTCCAGACAGAGTGAGCAGGAAGCAGAAAGAGGGACCTCAGGCTGTTCAGAAATCCCTACTGAGAACCATGATGTGGTAGGAAAGGAAGAGACAATAGGAGAGAATTCAAGAGTCTAGGGGAAAAAAAATACTGTGATGGTTTAAGTGAGATATGGCTCCCAGTGACCTCGTGCATTTTTGAACTCTTGGTCCTCAGCTGGTTACACTGTTTGGGGGAGCTTATGACAACTTTAGGATGCTAATCATTGCTGGAGAAATTGTGTCACACACAGCGGGCATTGAGAGTGTATAGTTTCACCCCACTATCACTTTGACCTCTCTGGTTGAAAATGTGACCCCTCAGCTCCCTGCTCTGGCTGCCTGCTACCATGCCTCCACCACCACGACGGACTCTCCCTCTGGAATTGTAAGCCCAAATAAACTCTCTCTTCCTGAAGTTGCCTTTTCTTGTTCTATCACAGCAGCTAAGGGCAACTCATACAAATGCCGAGCAACGAGCATGATTGGGCTCGTGACTGGAAGAGAAGTGATAGGTTCGCAGAGCAAGTGCAGACCTATACAAATAGCATTGGGAGAAAAGACACAGGGGATGCTCACAATCTTAACTATCCCTTTACAGCCACTGAGGTGAATTCTGTTACTCTTTATATAGTCACCATGAATACTGAATTAGCAAGCCCTCAAGTTCCTAGAGGTTAAGATTAAAGATTAAGGTTAAATTCCTGTGAATTTCTGCTCGTGATGGTCTCAACAACTGATGAGGCTATGGCTGCTGTTTATGTATGCTTCTAAACATAGATATGTTCTTTAATATATATTGTTCATTTCTGAAGTTGAGCTAATTAGTGCACAGCACTCAGTGCATATTGCTCTGACTCGAGCCTGAACAGGGCTGGCCTAACATCTACATCTGCATCTATGCCTGCACGTGCACCTACACACACACACACACACACACACACACACACACACACACACAC